CGCCGTCAGCCTCTCTTGGGTTGGACGGTGAGTGATGTTCTGAGTCTCGCCTGAAATGTAAAGGATCTTTGATCGGTTATCATATAATGTGATATGATGTTTGCTGTGGCTGTGTGTATGCGCGATGGGACAATCGTATCAAACCAAACGAGAAAACTCGGAAGGGCCTTGAAACGCCGGGTCGAAGTCCTCGCGAGGCAAGCAAAACGGTTGGCGAATTGGACAAACAGAAGGCATGTTCCACGCTCGCATAGTAAAGTCACCCCCTCAACGTCAGTCCAAGCTGAACTTTGGAAAACCATCGAACATGTTCGCCTCACTCGACCCAAATATTCCTCCCCGGAGACGCGCAGTGCTCGAGCCCGAGGGCGCATTTCACCAGGCGATGGCCCTCGGCCTTCAAAGCCAGCGGCAAATTTGCCACGCCCTCTATGGGAAGAGTTGGAGCGAGTCCCGAGTCAAGTACCTCCAAAAAAGACCAACTGGAAACTCGAAAACCTCGGTGCATCTGCGGCATCCAGTTTGGCATCCTTGAGCTCAAAGCATCTCGGCACCCTGACAATCAACTCCCAACGATGAGCATCTTACTTCCACCAGGCAGGATGTGGATGGCACACTTCGTGATAGAAGTCGCCTCTCGTCTCCGGTTTCAAGCATACTCGGCGTTTACAATCCCATGAAGTTGCAGAGAATCTGCTTTGCGAAAGGACTGTGTTCCTTCTGTGGCCTCTCTCGCTCTCGCCAAACCATGTTTATCTAACTCATTTTTGCATGGAGGGTGCGGCGTGGTGCCGCATGCTGCCAGTGACAGCCTTCCCAAAAAAAGGTCCAAAGGATGGGTACCCGGTTTTGTTGTGGAGTTGGAAGGGAAACCGAAAGGAAAGATACAATTCTCAGGGGGCCTTTCGGTCACAACACCACGTTCTGGGAAACGTTCATTGTTGGGATCCTTTTCATGAAGCCTTCACTTTTGCAGCTTTTAGGGGATGCCCGATTTTCGGAATGCCCCAAATCAGTTCCCAAAACAAACGACAAAACCAGCCGACCAACTGACCGGCCGCACCAGGGTTCCAATGAGACGCTAGCAGACGTATTGTAGCCATATCAGGTGCCATTCGCCCCATGTGCCAATGTATTTTAAAGGCTTCAAAAAATGTCTGAGCTTAAGTCCACTTCTCTTCTTGCTGACCCGCTGAGTTCACTGGCTAGAAAGTGTTTGAACTCCTTTGGCACGGATCCTCCCACAGGCGTACTTCTCCTCCCGCGAACCCCCTCGCCACCTGCAGCCGCCGATTCCTCCTGAAAAGAGGCAGTCAGGCCCTCCCGTCGAGAAACACATCGAAGAAGATATTCACCTTACCACTGCTCTTTCCAACAGACTGGCCACACTTGCTGCAAGCTTCCCGCCTTGCTTTACCAAGACTGGCATTGCTACAGCTGCGGGCTGATACCTTTTATGTTCCTTTGCACTACCCCCCTGCGTTTTCCCACGGCACGCAGCGCGGCAGTGCAGACATGCTGCATCGCCCGCTGCTGAGACTGAAATCACTCCAGGAGGGACGCATTGAGAGCCAAAGGATGTTTGGCCCGTGGACACGCTCTGTGGAAGCACGCTCTGTAGAAGTACAGCTCCGACGTTCTGCAAACCACCCTCCCGACTCGCTTTGAGAAGTGTGCATATTGCAAATGGCATGACAGCCAGACATGAGGCCTTAGTCATACATCGCTGAGATCCGCTCAATGCAAAATCGTTCAGGCCCAACGCCGCAGGTTACATCGTCAACGCAGCAACGTCCGAAATATACAATTACAAGCGCTCATCATGGCAGCACATCTTGCGTTTCTGCCCAATTGCTTCCAAGGCAAGCAGACATAGGACAAAAGTAAAACTGGCCCTCCTGCTCCAGACTGGCATCCGAAGGTCTGAGACTGGAGTCAGTAACCCGACGGCAAACGGCCGGACTGGACGAAGCTCTTAGAGCTGTTGACGCAACGGCACGAAGCCGCGAGTGGCGGAGCGCTGCGCGTGCGCAGATCAATCAATCGGTTGATTTCTCTGGCCTCAAGCAGACATGGTGCAATGAAGTTGCCTGAACTTGTCTGCTACAGCGGCTGCGGTGAATTTTTCAACAATCAGTCAAGCCGTCTGGGCTCAGACGTCCCTTGCACACGCCGGACAATCACCTGTGTGCGACGCCTCCTTTTCCTGCAACCTCAAGACGCCGCCGCCTTGCTCAAGCTGGCCTGAGATGAGCGGACCACTTCAATGTCCCGAGCCGTGTCGGACGAGCCGTGGGAAACACACTTGCAGAGCGAGGTTTGCCCCAGTCAAGTCACAGATGGCATGAGTGCAAGAATGTAGAAAGCAAGAGGGGCAACAAGTCAAACGATCCATCAAACAGCTGGTCAAAAGTTCCGTAGGAGAGGTGAAGGTCAAAAAGCTGAGTTAAACCGGAGCACTTCTCAAACCATCTCACCGTTGGCTGGAGACATCGGCTCTGAAGCACACTTCAAAGTCATAAGGACAAGCGAGCTTCACACCAAGACTAAATATTCAGGCGCCCTTGCGCTCTGGGAGGCACAAGACATGTGTGCTACGAAAACGCAAACCTGCCCGCAAAACCCGTCAAGGAAACCTGTCAAATCCCCTCTAGACACCGGTCAACTGCCGGTCAAATTTCTGCCCAGAAGATGCCCAACTCAGTCAAATTCCCCTAGAAACCTGTCAAAATTGCCCCTCGAAAGCCCAGCCCACCATATATACGATGCCTCAAAGCCAGCCAAAAGCACGCTGGCCAAGGCGGGCGACGCGAAGTGTTTTAAGGGATAGCCACTATACAAAAGGGCGAGCACAAAAGGGTTTTAAGGGTACAAACCTCATTTTCCACTGGGTGGGTGTGTCGTTCTTCAAGGGGCCCCAAAAAATGGCTTCAGTTTTCCTTTTGGTTTCCCTTTACAACAAACAAAGGGGGTCCCCTGCAGAAAGGCCAGGTTTGGACTCCAGTCACTTCCGACACCCGCGTAACACGTCCTCGGCTTGCAGGCGCCGGGCCAAGGCCTGATCCAAGAAGCGATGGCGCACATGGGCACAAAGTCTTCACAGCATTTACCAAAACGGTTCTCATGCATAGCATCTGTATACGCGTCAAAGTGTACATGTGGATGCATATGTCTACATGTATATGCATATGTCTACATGTGTATGCGAATGTGTATGAAAATATGCATGTGCATGTGGATATATGGATGTGTGCATGCGTGCGTGTATGTGCATGTGTGTGTGTGTGAGTCTGTGTATGTGGATGCATCTGTCTGCATGTGTATGTCAATCTAAGTGTGTATGTGAACGCGCATGTGGCTGTGGATGTGGATGTGTGTTTCTGTATGGTTATGCATGTGTGTGTGTGTGCGTGCATGTGTATGTGTATGTCTCTGTGTGTGTGTCTATGAGTAGGTTTCTAAATGTGTATGTGAATGGGAATGTGTTTGTGCATGTGCATGTGAATGCGGATGTGGATGTCTGTGTGTATGTGTATGTGTACGTGAAAGTGTGTGTGTGTGTATGCGTATGTGGATGAATATGTCTGCATGTGCATGTAAATGTGAATGTGTATGTGCATGGGCATGTGGATGTGGATGTGCAGGTGTGTGTGTGTGTATGTGTATGTGTATGTGCATGTCTATGTATATCGGTATGTGTGGGTGTGTCTATGAGAATGCGGATGCAGATGTCGGCATATGTATATGAATGTCAATCTGCATTTGCATGCGCATGTGGATGTGGATGTAGAGGTGGATGTGGATAGTATGTGTGTGTGTGTATGTGTATGTCTGTCTGCGTGCATGTTTATGTGTATGTGTACGTGTATGTACATGTACATGTACATGTATGTGTATATGTGTATGCTACGTGTATATATGTGATTTGTGCGAGGACGGGACCATTTGTGTTTCCCATCTATTTTGTGTATGTAGGTTATCACATAATCTGTGTATATATATGTATATATTATGTGCATTGTTGTTTACATGTCTAGGTTTTCCTGTGGGAAAGCTATACATACACATAGATAGATGGATGGATAGATGGATGGGTAGGTAGGTAAGATAAAGTAAGACAAGATAACATAACATGAGATAAGATAAGAGATGATAAGTGAAGATAATATCCGATAAAATAAGATAGATAGATACGATAGGTAGAGATAGAGATAGGATAGATATAGATATTAATATTGATTTGTTTAGACACAAACATGTGCATAGACTGTATGTACTATGTCTGTACGGGGCAAGGAGGATATCTGCATCAAAGGCTGCCCACTGGTATGTGTAGATTGCATAGAGAGAGAGAGAGATGTGTGTGTGTGTGTGCGTGTGTGTATGGTTTCTATCTATTCCCCAGTGTACAGAGAGAGAGAGAGAGAGAGATACATGTACGCACATCTCATTATTTGTTTCTTCATATTGCGCAGGTGCATGCGTTTCGGCATCGCAGTTCACACCAGGATCCTAACACCTCAGCACTCTCGAGGCCGCAAGAAACGCAGGGAAAAGTTGGGCAGCGGGTGAGCTGGTACAAATGGTGGTGTTCCTGCTGATTTCGCTTTCAAACCAATGTGAAGAGGGTACACTCGAAAAAGACACAGCCCACTTTCTCGTCTGTGTCTCGGTGGCAGGAAAACCGAACAACCGGTCCCTTGCAGTGAGCCCTGCGGCTATCGCTCAACGGTATCCCAACCAATTCTGGGGTTCAAATCCCTAAGTCCTCAATCCACACCACCCATTCAGTCCTAGAAAGAACAAGGCGTCTTGAACAATTAGCGGGTTCCCTTCTGTCGGCCATGTTCCCGTCGGTCTCAGAGCCGCCCAGCGGGCTGTTCAAAAAGCGAAAAAGGTCCCCGAGGTTCGACCAACTGCCCTCTGGAAAGGCATCTGCTCCTCGCTCCTAGGACAAATCTCGGTGGTTCCAAGGGGTTCCGGTCCGTTTCCTGGGGGAC